TCCCTAACAAATGAGGGCAGCGAGGCTTACTTCATGCGGGGCTGTGAGGCTGAGTGAGACAGTCATGGGCAGCCCTTGGGACGGTCCCTGCCCGAGCAGCAAACACTCAAGGACACTGAGCTCTTTCTTCTTGCCATTGCTGACACCGTCTTGCTACAGAAAGGCGCAGGTGAGTTTCAGGTGTAGCATTTAAGCAGTCTGGGTGGGTTCAGGGTCTTATTTCATATTTTAAGTTTGAGATTCCGTTGCTGCCAGTGACATAGACTGTGAGAAACACAGGTTCACTGTAGAATACGAAAGAACAACTTTGACGACCAGATTTTATAAATTAGGCATTATAAAATTAACATTAGAAACGTGCAGTCAGGACCTACTACCTCTTTCGGCATTGAAGTGAGGCTTCGACAGATCACGAGCAGGAAGACGCTGTTCCTCTCGCACAGAGCAGACGTGGCTGACGCGCAAACACCCAGTGCCACCGAGCAGAGCCACGCTGGCCCCGGGTGTCTTCTGCATGCCTGAACAAACATTTCTAAGTGACTTGAAATGCACATTCAGGGCAAAGGTGTGTGGACACAGCACAAGAAATATTCAAGTTTTCAATGTACACACTTTATTGTTTTACTTAAAAAAGATACCCAATGAAAATATTAATAACCATTAAAAACAAGCAAATTCCCACAGCTAATTATAAATTCGGTTGACACAGAATGTCCATTTGGATTAAATTTACCTTGTGAATCATAATGAAGTTTCACACTCAATTGCAAAATGCACTGTTTTTCATAAATCCTGACCTCTTATTCAAGACAATACGGACTTTTGGGTAACATTTATGTAAACATCGAAGCCTATAGTATACATTTTTATTACCATTTCGGCAGTCATTAATACAAAAAGTTGATAAACCTGAACAGCAAAGTACACAGCTGGGAGAACCCCCGTGGGGGGCGACAGCGTCACCGCTGAGCCCGCTCCCCCCGCCGCCGGCAGCGGGAGCATCGTGGTCATCATGGTCTGGTCTCTAAATGCACCGACTCCCCCATCGCCCAAGTCCGAGAGCTACACGTGGCTTCAGAGATCTGCCTACAACAAGCACCAGTTTCAAATCAAGCCTAGTGTGGTGTATGCTCCACACGATGTGTACCAAGGCAAAGAGTAAGCGAATGTAGAGAAATGTCCAGAAAGGACGGGAAGGGGGGGGCGCACGTCATTAGAGGACATCAGGTCTGCAACATGTGCGCTCAGACGCAGAACGATCCCGACAGCCACATGTCACTGCGCATTTACTCAAACCCACAACCTTGTTACCACGGAGGGTCACGATGGTTAGACAGACGGGCAATGTCCGGGATGCTTCTTTTTTTTAATTTGATTTTCTTCACCAAAGGCAAAAGTACTACACACCTTGGCCAACACGAAGGCTTTAGAAATCATTTAACAATTAAGACTATGAGAGCAGGATATAAGAGTTCTCTACCCATAAAACAGGAATATTTGCACGGAACTGCCGAGTATTAGAAAATCCCAAGAAATGTCATAGGCAGCATCTGAAGATGGTTCTGACATCTTAAGATAGAATTACCTTCCAGGAAACCATGACTTTTGAAAGAAAAGTCTAAGCCATTGGGATTGAGAATCAGGGTCCAGTAGTCATCCTGGTAAGAAGGCCGATTCTCCGAATTACCACCAGAATGCACTTTATAAAAAGCTATAAAACTTCAAAGGAGAAAGGAGTGTTTTCCTGGAATGACACAAAGAAACAAGAAACAACAAAAGAAAATAAGTTAGCTCGCTGTGTGCTGCGTGAAGGTCCAGGGGTCCCGAAGCCTTCCCTGCGGTCTCCTGGCTCGTCCTACATCTTCTCTACAGCCCCGGAGCTCACCTAGCAGGGAGACCACCCACAGCCAGTGCAGAGGGCATGGACCACGGCAGGCGCTGTGCCCCCCGCCCCACCCAGGACGACTGGGCTCCCACTGGCCCTTTTCCCACTGCATGGCCCATTCCCAACACTCACCTCTGTAGAAGGGGGAACTAAGGCAGTGCCAGTCAGCCCTCTGGTGGGGATGCAGACCTTTTTTTGCATAAATTGGTTGGAAAGAATTAATTGTCAGTCTCGGTTCAAACACATTTAAGCACAGACATATAAAAACAATATTAATTTTTACAAAACTTCTGAAACTTTTCACAATCATTATTTTAAAAACAAAAACGTTAAAAAGGGAAATAACATTGGTTGAGTTAGGAGATCTTCTGCTTTAAAATTACATCTGCAAAAGCTAATTTAAACTCTCCAAGGAGCAAGCTCATGGCAAGCGTATCGATTTTGAAGACAAGACTCAACTTCAGTGGAAGGTGGAAAACGAAAAGGAAAGGCATCTACGAGAATGCAGATCAGAACAAAGGCCTCGCAACGAGGGTTGCCAGGAGGCCAGTGGGCAGCGTTCGTCAGCCGTGGTAAACACTAACGCGACTTGTACTGCGTTGCCAGGGACCTGGATGCCTGATCTTCACTATGGACGGGAAGCGTCCGCTGTGCAAAGACTCATCCGAAATGTATGGAAACCACCATGGAAAGTACACGGCCTGTAGGCGGGATCCCCTCATGCACTCTCACGGGGGGCAATGACTTAAGTAAAATGGAACAAAATTAAGCAGGCTAAGCTTTGGGGCTCATTCCACCGCTATTTCTATTATAATTTGTTTTGGGCGGGACCTTGAAATAAAGTTTTGCTGCACACGTACCTTTTAAAGGCCATCCGATCTCTTTAGAAGACAGTTAAACTATAAAAAGAGCCTATTGATAGTTTTAATACATCGGGAACAAGGAGAAGTAAAATTTTCCATATACAACGTCTGCTTCAGAAAAATGATGTCTATTAAAAAGTCAAGAAGGAAAAACCTTAACATTCAATGATAACTTCACAGTCATGTAAGAGTCAGAGTTTAGGGAGTCATGTGGAGAGAGGCTCGGTTGTGCAGCCAGCCCCTGTCCCCAAGAAGGTGCGCTGACGAGTCTGTGCAGCCACTCAGCTGCTGTCCCCTGCTGGGTCCTGACCACAGAGGTCCGCAGCCTCGCCAGCGGAATCCTCCTGTTTGCAAGTGACACAGCCCTGCAAGAAAGAACAAGAGCAGGCAGGTTATTTGATGTGATGTCATCTGAAGAGTTTTAAAAACGGTAAAATGCTGGCCAAGCAACCTACGTCGTCTAACCCCCTCCCCATTCATGTCTAAGAATACCCATTCTGGCTCGTTTCTTATTATTAGAAGGTAAATGGCAGCGATCGTTCAGCGCTTTGGTTTAAATTGTTTTGAGGCTCATTCTTCATATGCCCTTCCACTCAAAAGCCAGAAGAACAATATTTAAAAAACAAAGACGCCTATAGAAACCAGCCCAGCTCCTGCTTTCTGGTGAGGCCATATCCAGCTATTCCTAAACAGCAGGTACTCACTTCTCTTTAAAAACCGGAGTGGGAAGGACTCCGATGACTTCTTTACTCCCTAAGTCTTAAAACACACTTTTTTAGATACCTCACTTTATTCTCTAGTTATAATTTTTCAATTCACACATCACCTGCCACAGTGTAGTCACAACCATCACTATAGAACCAACTGCTGGGACCACTGTAACTTAAAGCCTCACTGTCAGGCTGTTCGCTATGATCTCACTGTGAAGACCTCGTAACAGCGGAGACCACGGAGATTCCTGCCGGGGCGAATACCACCTCAGGTGTGAATCTTTTCAAACATGCGTGCATATCTGAAATGCCATTCTCTTCTACCTCTCCTCCCCAGCCAATCGACATATCAGAGCAGGTGTCTTTACTCCTCCTCGCCCCATAATATTCCAACTGGTGGAGGAAGAAAAGCACCTAGAGTCAAAAAGGCTCTGTATTCAAAACCCTATGAACTATGAAAGCTTACGCACATCATTCAGTAACTGTTTATTGGTCCAGCAGGGATGACAAGGCCTGCTGCGGGACAGCTTGGAGGATTAAAATTTCCAGTGGGACCACGCGATGTGCTCCACGGGTCTAGGACACCGCCGGTGGCCACCATCACGGCGCTTACCTGGGTGTCTATTTCCGGAGGGATTGTCTGGCTCTGCAGCCAAGGATGCTCCGCGGCCAGCTCCGCTCTCTGTCCAGGGGAAAACTGCGGCTGCTGCTGCCTCATGCTGTCCAGTTTGCCCAGGTCTTCTCTCAGGACAATTTCTTTAACCCTGGAAACAAGCAGCGAAACCCTGACGGTCCTGGGTTCTCCTCGTGTCGTCCAAGAACAGCCATCTTTCTGTTCTGTAATGTGCTTTCTCTCTCTCATTGACACATGTGCACATTCAAAGTAACGGAATCATTTCTTTGTCAGGCTGGGAAGCTAGACCTCTTTTTCTTGGTGGAAGACATCTGCACAGCATTTTAACGAGGTGAAAGGAGACACGATGCCTTAGTTCTCCTCTGAGAAGGGAGGAGGAACCCAGAGCCCGCAGAGGCGCCGAGGCCCGCCGCCTTTGTCACACGCTCATGACGCAGCAGGCGGAGCCGCTGTTCCGGGACATTACGTGCCACCTCACTTCAAATAAATGCATTTGAAAATACATTTCTCTAAGTGTATGTGTAAAAAACCTTCAAAAATCACTCTATTCGAAACCACACTCAAACCACTAAAAACCTCATATAAAAGTGCGTCTTCTCAAGGGCTTTCTTACCTCTCGGGTACCTGATACGTCATCAGAATGCACTCAGGTGTTTGTTTTATCATTGTCCAGATGGACTCTTCAGCTGACGTTGGAAACGCAGCTGTTTCCTGCACATCTCGAGACGGCTGCCCGTTTGGGGGGATGTCAGGAGAATCATCACTGCTAGTAAAGTATACACTGCTGTCACTGCTTCCTATCAAAAATCAACAAGAGTAACACATGAGAAAACACCTGTCAGAGACTGATTTGCCAAACTGGCCCTCCTTCTTCACAGACTTGGGCAGCCGACAGTCTTCGCCGGCCAGCCCAGCTGCCATCCCAGGAAGCTCGGCCTTCCCGGTCCTTGATCTGCCCAAGGTCTCTTTCTCAGTCCTCCTGAGCTACGCACTCCAGGCCAGACCTGCTCCTTCTCTCCCAGAACTGCCCCGTGGAGGCTCCGTCTCCTGAGCCACCAACATCTCAGCTTCGCCTTCTCGTCTGCTCACTCGACTGCTCGGTCCTGAGTCTGGAACAGTGCCTCAGCACTCGGCTTAGAGCTCGGAGTCCACCATTCAGTGACATTCCCTCCAACACCTCAGACTTTCCCCCTCTGACTTTTCACGACCACCGAAGTGTCAACTCCAATAAAGCCAGTGATCAAGTCTGTTCTTATCGAAACCCACAAAACCAAAGACGTGGAGAAAGTCACATAGAACAGGGCACAATGGTTCTACGAGAAAGTCATCATCGCCTAAAGGATCATCAGAGCGCCCGGCCACCCCGCTACAGTCCTCGGGCCAGCGCGTCCATCCATTCCCAGCAACGACGACTTCCACTCTGTTTCCTCTCTCACTTTCACCTACTTAAAACTCCCGGAAAAAAAAAAAAAAAAAAGGGCAAGCAGAAGCCATTGGAAAGGAAATTCATGATCCTGACACCAAACATAAACGTACTCCAATCTGCACTCTCCTCTCCTCCTCCTGTTATAAAAGAAGCCGGCCAGCCTCCCGCGAGGCCCCGCCCCTCTGGCTGCGCTACAGCCTCGTGCAGTAGTCCTTTCCGGCCCTGCATCTGAACCTTCCAATCCCTCACATCGACACTGGAATGATTAAAACAAAGCAAACCAAAGCTCCTCTCTAATTTTTTAATAAAGTAAGTATATGGTTAAATCTAAAAAACATTTTTCCTCATTAAACAATCGCTTTAAAAGGTAATGGACGATTTAAAGCAAAAACAGTAACAATTTTGTTGTGGGTTCGTAATACGTGTAGAAGTAAAATGTATGATAAAAATAGCTCCAAAGACAAGGGAAAATGGAAGTACTCTGTTTTAAGATTCTTAGACACAAAGTGATAGGTATAATATCTGAAAGGAGACTATGATAAGTAAAAGATGCACTTGTAAATCTTGGAGCAATGACTTAAAAAAAAAAAGAAAAAATGGAAAAAGAGAGGTATAGCTAAGAAGCCAACAATGGAGAGAAAACAGAATCATTAAAAGTACACCACTGACCCAGGAGGAGGAGGGGAGGACGAGAAAGGAGCAAAGAGCAGAGGAGACGAAGGTAAAACGAGTAGCGAGATGGAATGTTACTCAACCGTGACCCTTGCATTAAATATAAACGGTCTCAGTGCTCCAGTTGAAAGGCAGAGGCTGCCACGTGGATAAAAAAGCAACACCCGACTACGTGGTGGCTACCAAAAATCAAGCTTAAATATAAAGATACACATCAGTTAAAAGCAAAAAGATGGAAAAATACGCCGTGAAAGCACTAATCAAAATAAAGCTGGTGTGGACACACTGGTATCAAAGTCGACTTCAGAGCAAGGCATGTTTCATAATAAAGGGATCAGTTCATCAAGAGGACACAACAGTCTAAATGTGTATGTGCCTAATAAAGGAGCTTCACAATACATGAAACAAAACTGACTGGACTGCAAGAAAAAAGAGACGGCGTCTCGATTAGATTTGGACAATTTAACAGCCTATATTTAACAGTCTTAATAACTGATAAAACTGGTGGATAGAAAATCAGGAGGTAAAAGGTGGGACCAACAATATTAGCCAACTCGCTCTAATTTACAGAAGACACCACTCAACAACTAGAGAACACACGTTCTTTTCAAGTGCATGAGAAGCATTTATTAAGAGAGACCAAATTCTAGACCATTAAACAAGCCTCAGTAAATTAAAAACAAACAAACAAATAATATTTTTTGACTGCAATTAAATTAGAAACCAATAAAAATCTGGAAAAAATTGCAAACATTAGAAAATTAAATACATTTCTAATAACCTATGGTCAAAGAAGAACTCACAGAAAAATTAGAAAGTATTTTAGACTGAATGAAAATAAAAACAGCCATATCAAAATTTGAGGGATGAAACTACAGCAGTGCTTAGAGGGAGATGAAAAGTATTAAATGTTTATATTAAGAAAAAAAAAAAGATCTCAAACCAATGGTCTAAGCTTCCACGTTAAGAAATCAGAAAAAGAACAAATAAAATCCGAAGTAAAAAGAAAGGAAATCATAAAGATTAGAGTAGAAATTAATAAAATACAAAATCAAAAAACAAAAGGGGAAAAAAGCCCAATGAAACAAAAAATTGCTTCTTTGAAAAGTTAATAAAATTGGTAAACATACAGCCAGAATAATCAGGAAAAAATTCTTGATAAGATTACTACAGATTCTACAGACATTAAAAGAATAAGAGAATAATATAAATAAATTTATGACAATAAATTCAACAACTCGATGAAATGGACAAACTCCTTGCAAAGTACAACTTACTAAAGATCACTCAAAAAGAAACAGATAACCGGTAGGTCCTGTCTATTAAAGAAAATAGATTTGTTGTTAAAAAGAACCTTCTCACAAACAAAACCTCAGGCCCAGATGGCTTCACTGGTGAATTCTACCAAGCACACAAGGAAGACGCCAGTAACAGCGATTCAGCACAAAGACAGAGGGGAGGGAACCATTCCCAACTCATTTTTCGGGCCAGCATTACCGATACCAAAAGCAGATAAACACGTTACAAGAAAAAAAACAATAGAGCAACATTTCTCAGAATAGTTGCAATGATCCCTAACAAAATATTAGGATACAGAATCCAGCAATACAGTAAAAGGATAAAATAGCATGACCAAGTACAGGTTAATTTAATATTTGAAAATTAATTAATGTAATTCACCATATTAATAAAATAAGGGAGAAAACCATATGATTATCTCGAGAAAGCATCTTGGCAAATTAACAGTAGAAAGGAAATTCCTCAATCTTATTGATAAAGAACATTTATGGAAAACCATATTTCACATCATACTTAATTGTGAAAATTTGACTGCTTTCC